ATGCAGAACAGAGAAATCAAAAATTCCCTGAGAAAACTGAGTGTTTAAACTCTCCTTTTTAGTGCAGTAGCAAAAAAAATAAATACTGACCCTGCTGGGGTTACATTATACGCCTCGTATACAATCCGTTATTGAATGATTCTGACCGCCAGCCTGAGACATTGCTGCTGGCAGGAAGGGTGTGAGTGACAGGGCTGATTTATTTCAGTCTACAGTCATATAACGGAGGGAACGCAGACACCTGAGGACCAGAGTGAACTCCACGGGGCCATGCATTTCAGACAAACGCGCACCTATGAGGAGACACGGACGACAGATGCCGACTTAAACATATCCAAACACATTCACCTGAAGAACACTACGCTCTTTTACTCAAATCCACTCAATATTTCCCTCATTGCATCTTCCCTGCTGCGCTTAAAATATAGTACAAGGAAAAAACTAGCTCTTCACTGTAACACAAGTATAGTGCTCATTATTTCCGTGCCTTCCATGGATTATTTGGATCATCTGTTGAGATTTTGACTTCGCCTGCGATGCGTTAACTTAAGCCTCCATTACTTTGGCAGGGTTCATATGAAGAGTGAGGGCCAAGCCTTGCAACAATACTACAGCTCAATGTTGATGCGATTAGCTAGTTTGATTCTGTTCGCAGAAGGCAGACAACTGCAGGGTTAACCGAAGCCCTGTGTTTTATTCACATTTTATGGATGTGCGACTGTTTAGGATGAGAGAGGTGAGGGTTTTTCACCTCTGAAGAACGGCGAACAGAGTTGATTAGCGAATGCTAGGACTGAGAAGAAGTAAAGAACGAGGAAGTTAACGGGTGAACAGATGAATGGAGAATTCTTTGGGTGTTTATGTTTGTGTGTGTGTTTGTGTGTGGTGAGGGTGAGGGTCAGTCTTGGAATCCACCTGTCTGCAGAGATAAACACAAGAAGGGCCCAACAGCACAGACTGGGGCTTATGGGAGGGCCTGACTGACAGTGCTGACATTTAGAAAGAGCACAGTAAACATGGCCTTGCACAGAATAAATAGCAGGGGGAGCAGTTTGGCCAATACACACACAATCACGTACTGTACGCATTAATGCATCACATCAGTTTGAAGCATAAATTAATACAAGTGAGTCTATGCATGTGCACAGAGAAACAGAGCTGCATGTACACCTTGATGCACAGGTACACTGTAGACTGTTCCAATCTGATAGCCTACTATTAGAGCGCTGACAAAGAAAATGGCAATAAGTGTTTGCTTTTAATAGAACCAGGCTACACACACACACACACACACACACACAGATACAGGCTGACAAGAAAATTAAACACGCCTACTGATTAATCCAGGACAGAGTGGATCATCAGTGTTGTTCCTTGGCCTTTTGTCTCTGATTAAATGGAGAAGTATGAAGAGAGAAGTGCTTCAGGCTGCCTACCACAGAGCTGAATGCACCTCTAGAACAATCTGTTCTCACCTATTAGTAATAAAGGCACAGCGATGAGAGGTTTACAGGCACTGACTGGGAAATGTCAGCAAATTCAGAAACATAATGTCTTTTACGTAGTTTTATTCTGAAATGTATTAATTAACCATCTATCTATCTATCTATCTATCTATCTATCTATCTATCTATCTATCTATCTATCTATCTATCTATCTATCTATCTATCTATCTATCTATCTATCTATC